CTTAACTGCTATGCCACCGGGCTGGGCTCCTCCATGACTTATTTATTTTATATCTGGAAGTTTGTACCTGTTGGCCCCCTTCACCCATTTCACTCATTCCCCAACCCCCACCTCTGGCAACCACCAATCTATTCTCTCTATGGGCTTGTTTTTTTTTTTGGCTCCCACATATAAGTGAGTTCCTACAGTATTTGTTTTTCTCTGTCTGACTTATTTCACTTAGCATAATGCCCTCAAGGTCCATCCATATTGTTGCAAATGGCAAGATTTCATTCTTTTTTATGGCTAAATAACATTCCATTGTATATGTACACCACATTTTCTTTATCCATTCATCCATCAATGGACCCTACTATTTTATATAAGGAGTGTGGGTGGTTGTTTGAGCCTTCTCTCTTTATTTTTGGTCAGTCTAGCAAAATGTCTGTCAATTTCGTGGGTGGTTATTAACTTTATTATTTTTTTTTTTAAGTTTTTTTTTTTTTTTTTATTCATTTTTCCCCCCCAAAGCCCCAGTAGACAGTTGTATGTCGTAGGTTCACATCCTTCTAGTTGCTGTACGCGGGACTCGGCCTCGGGTTGGACGGAGATGTGGTGCCTCGGGGGCGCGCCCGGGATCCGAACCCGGGCCGCCAGCATCAGAGCGCGCGCACTCAACCACCAAGCCACGGAGCCGGCCCAGTTATTAACTTTATAATGTAGGTTAGAGGGTATCCAGGAAGGATTGTGGCTGAACTAGAAGTGGAATTATCTATATGGTAAGGGACGGGACTTTGTGCCTTCTCTTTTTGGGGATAAGGGGTGAAGGTATCTTCATTTTAAGTGGAATAGTTGCATCCTGTTAGGCAGATGCATGATGTTGTTATGTGGAAGTTTAAGTATGGTGGAATGGTGAGAATGGTGCTGAGTACCCAAAAGGGTAGACTATTCCTGTTATTAGAGAGACTAATGACAAACCAACTGACAAGAGGAGAAGCCATTTTTTGTTTCCTGCTTCCGATGGAGCTTCTAGCAGCTTCGGGTTTCTACTCAGGCAGGGCAGTTCCAGGGGCTGCAGTGGCAGAGTGTGCCCTGCACTCATGGAGCTCTGACTTTGGCAGTGGTAGTGACAATGGTAGGCAACTTTAGGCTCCTGGTCCCCTGCAGCTTCAGTGTGAGTGTCAGCCAGCTTCCGGGCTCCTGGCTTACTGCAAAACAGCAACAGTTCCAACCTCAGCAGCCTCAATGGCACAGTGATCATGGAGGTAACATCGTTTTCTCTTTTGCTCCTCTAGCCCTAGGGGATGGTGTTTCCCAGTAGTTATTAATCCCTTTTTGCTTCTGCAGCCCTTCCAACACTTTTGCAAACAGTTTGCTGTATTAAATTCCTTCTGTTTGAATACTTAGAGTGATCTATGTTTTCCTAAGTGGACACGAGCTGATACACCTTTCTTCTTGGGCACCCAGCGAAGCTACCCTTTTTCCTCCCTTTTAGTTAGATGTGACTGAATTCTAGATGATGAAATGTGATTGAGTGATATATGCTATTTTGGGGGCCAAGACTTTTGAGAAGTGAGTATGCTCTCTTCTACACTTTTTCCTACTTTCATAAGCTAGACTTGGATAACTTTAGGGGATGGTGGAACAGTAAGAGTATCTGAATCACCATGTGGAGGAAAGCATTAGGCTATTATATGAATGAGAAACAAAAATTGTATCTAAGCCTTTATGTGTTTTGGGGTCTATCTGTTACAGCAGATAGTGTTACTATACTAAAGTTACCCTCCAAATATTACACATTTTTTGTAGACTGTAAAGCAGCCACAAATTCATTCATAGTAGTAGAATAGTAGGTGAATAGCAAAACTACTTCATTTCTGGGGCAAGGATTTATTTATTTTATCTTACTTATGGTTGGAATGAAAATCTTACTAGTTTTGAATGACTCTAAATGTTTCTGAACAGATGGGCAGATAAGCAAACATATGTGCAAAATGACTGGGTTCTAAACTTGACAGACTCATGTATGACATAGTGGTCTCCAAAGTGGGGTGCATCTCCTTTGGAGAATACCAATTTAAACATGTATGGATGCAGAAGATGATCTATTGGAGTGAGGAAAGAAAGTATGAAAGTTTTCTATATATATCTTATCCTCTTATAATTTCTATTTTTGAGTATGTTCTATTACATATGTAATATGGTAGTACGTATATAATTTATGCATAAATAAGTACACCTATTAGAAGTACATGTTCAAAAATTTTGTACTGAAAGGATGTAGGATCAAAAACATTTAGAGACCATTGGCAAACTGTATTGATTTAAGGGCCTTGAAACAGTCTTAGCAACATGATATTGTCATAGATTCACAACATATTTAATAAGGGATGGATGGATAAGAAAGTGTTTAATATAGAGAAATACATCCAGAATTAGATGGGTTATCATTTTTAGCTCTATCTCTTAACTTCCTCTGTAATCCTGGACAAGTTACTTAGTCCTGGTCTCATTTTCTTATCAAATATGGGGATTGGGCTAATTTGAGGTTTTCACACTGTGCTCAGTGGTACTCCAGACGTTTTGACGAGTTTCTGTAGAGCCCTTGCAAAGGTAGGAGGAAGGAAAGACTACAGGCAGGCTCCTGCCTTGCTATATTGCTTCATCTAGAGTAACTAGCTCCCTTTATAGATCATATGCACAGCGAAAGAACAGAGGGTTTGGGGTGGGGGGAGAAAGAAAAGAAAACCACTGGGCTAGATCACCTCTTAAGAACCTTTTCCATTTTAAGGGTAAATAAAATTCAAAGTTACAACTAATCTCTGGTAATAAGAATAAAAGCCATGTCTTAATAAGTATAAAACTTCCCAGATGAGATAAACACAATTAAACATGTGGAAAGCCATTATTAATATGTGTTTGATGTAAAACGCAAGTTGCACTATTGAGTTTAACATCTCAGTTGGCCTCTACTTGAGTAACTTACTTTACAAAGTCAACCACAAGTATAGCTGTGCAGTGGCTATATTTTTTTCTAAAATCTTTTTATCAGCTTATTAATTCATATGATCAATTTAACTGGTTAACAAGGAAAGAAGAAAACCAGAAAAGATTCCAGAGAGAGAAGACAGAGTTGGCAGAGTAGGAATACTTAACAGCGTCCTTAATTGAATAGTTGCAGTTGAGTAGCTCTGGCAATAGCACCTTTAAAATTTCCAAGATGAAAATGTTTGAAACAAACTAGAAATCTGGCTGGCCTATTTTGAGCAAATATTTTAACTGTTTAGTTTCGAAAATTAGCTCTCCTTGGCCTTTGGGACTCCATGTTGGCATTTTCCTGTTACTTCTATTTACATGAAAAATTAAGAACATTTTATTGATTTCACTACATAATAATTCATTGGTTACATTTTACACTCCCTTTCTTTCCACTTGATTATTCGATTCTGTTCGACTACTCCCCCCTACCTTGACTCAGGAAAAGCAACAGTGTGCTAACAACAGTGTGCCAGCATGCGTGCTGGGCTGTGAAACAATGGTTTTAAATCCTACACAATATATTGTCCTTGAAGTACTATCAGCCAGAAACCACTCTCACAGTCCTCTTATTTTTCTTTCAAGGTTATATTTTGTGATTGGGGCAGAATTTTGTCGTGAGTGGGGGAGTTATCGATAGGCAAGGTGCTTGTAAACTCTTTCCCAGGAGCTTGCGTTGTTGGGAGTCTCCTTACCACCCTGACTCCGCATGAAGGCGAGACACACATCATTCAGTACCATTCTGCTCAGCTTAAAAACATCACTAGTCAGCCACTCTGATTTGAAATGTTTCCAATTTACACTTAATTTATGCTATAATCTATCCTATTCCCTGCCCGGTTAAAAAAGAAGACTAAAACAACACGGAATCCCAAATTCACACTTAGTACACCCAGGTACACTAGAACTCAATGGAAGACTGACTTCGTCATAGCTACCCAGTTTCAGCAGCCTGGTTCGCATCCCCATCCTCACTTCCTCCGCCTCCACCTCCAGGCCGGCGCGACGGAATTCCTTCCCCGTCCTTTCCTTACAGCCAATGGGGCGCGCCGTACCAACAGTAGGCGACAGCTCCAGGGAACCGCCCCTCCGTCGCCCCAGCCTGGGGCTGGGCGTCTACCCCATTTTTTCCGGTCTGCGCGCATGCGCACTCTCACTGGGCCCTGGAGAGACGCTTAGGCATCGATTTTCCTCTCCTTTCTTTTCCCCGTCGCGCGGCTCACCAAAACCGTTCCCCCTTTACTGTTGCTGAGGATCCCTCTGCTAGTCACTCAGAGGAGGTGCTGCTCCGGCCTTGGGCGCGGCAGTACCCGGATGTGGAGCCGCTCTCGCCAGGCGAGGACTCTGTGGCGGGGCGGAGCGCGGCGGCGTGCGCGCGGGCAGACAGAAGGGGGCCCCTGGGCCCCGGCGGGACGCCGGGAGGTACCACCGCTGCTCACGGGGGAGGCGGCGGCGCCGGCGCTGGGGTGCCCGCCCCGGAACGGGGAGTCAGGGGAGGAAAAAGGCCGGCAGTTAACCTTGCTTCCTGCCGCCCTCGCCGTCTCCCCCGGGCCAGCCTCCCCCGGCCCCCTGCGCTCCCCGCGCTCCCGGCCGGGGGAAAGCGTGGTTTCCTGGCGGCCGTCGCTGTAGCCCGGCCGGGGAGCCCGGAGG